ACTTTGACTACAATGTATAAATACTTTTATCCTGGTGAAAATTGGCCTTTGAATTGTTTCAGAATTACGTGCTTATATTTTATATTTTAATGTTAAAATGTAAAAATGTTGAGCTGTTTACTTACTGGTTGCAATACTCTGTATAAATTTTGTTTTTGTTTGTTTGTTGTTAAGCGCAAAATTACACATTGGGCTATCCGTGCTGTGCCATCCACGGTCGAAACTAGATTTTTAGCATTATAAGCCTTTAAACTTACCGCTGCACCCCTGGAAGGAGCTTATTTATAAAAAGAGCACCATCAGACATTTTTTCAAATGTTTGTCGATTTAAATATATATGTATATAATAGTCATGCTTTCATAGTATATAAACAGAATATATCATTAATTGATAAGTGTGTAATCAGAGTACTCTAACTCTCAAACACAAAATTGGCTTATTTTTTAAAATATTATTTTGGTTGAAAAAATGGATTAACTAGTAAATTTCTTCCTAGTGTGATCAATAACTACGTACCTCGTTGAGTACGTGACACTTAAGGCAGTTTATAAACAGTTTGTTTAGGATACTTTTGTCAGATGTTGAAAAATGATAACTATGTACCTGGTTGAATACGTGACACTTAAGGCAGTTTATAAACAGTTTGTTTAGGATACTTTTGTCAGATGTTGAAAAATGATAACTATGTACCTGGTTGAATACGTGACACTTAAGGCAGTTTATAAACAGTTTGTTTAGGATACTTTTGTCAGTTGTTGAAAAATATTTATTATGCTTATTTAATGCATTTTAGCTTTCTAGATTAAAACATTATATATAATCCAAATCAATCAATATTCAAAACAAATAGATACTTTTGAAGGTTTTTTTTAAACTTTGCCTCAAGTGATAGTAAAAAAATATTTTCCGAACATCACTGGTCTTTGAGAGGTATATATACGGAAGCGAACAAACTTATATTTATGTATGACGTCAGACGATAATTGATAACTTGCATCAAATCAATAACCAATAGCTACCTTCCTGACATTCAGTACAAAACATAACAAGCAATGTAAATTAAGAATATAGTTTATCCACAGTTTCTTAGAATATATAGAAAATATCAGAATTTTGAACAAAGCGTATCAGCATGGCAAACAAAGTTTCTTTTCAACTGTGAAATAGCTTGTTATGTGAAAACAAAAGTGAGTAAACTGCATAATTTTGAAAGGGAAAATATGAAGTAAAATATATTTAACGACATAGGAAGTTGTAGAAGTACATATACTTCTCAACTATGTTTTTATGTGAGGGTTGTTTTCATGCTTTCCACTTCACAACCATTACTTCTCTCTTTCCAGGACTTAGTAAATAACGGAACAATACCTGCACGCAGATGAAATAATGGACATTCGTGTCAAAAATACATTTCTTTGAACGTTTTTTTTTGTGCCCTTGGTATAATAAATGTAAGAGCGAACCATCATAAGCAAGGTAAAGTAATGCTTACACATTAATATTAAATACATGAGTTGGCTGTAATGAATAAAAAACAAGTTAGTAAATCTTTCAAAATTCCTCTTAACATGTAAAGTAGTGGTATTCAAAATACTAAATACTCAAGATTGTACTGTATGCAGCTCTTTTATTTGGAATTTAAAATATATTGACCATTATTAATTGGTTCGCCCCCCAGTGGCACAGCGGTATGTCTGCGGACTTACAACTCTAGAATCTGGGTTTCGATACCCGTGATGGGCAGAGCACAGATAGCCCATTGTGTAGCTTTGTGCTTAATTCCAAACAAACAAACCAAAAGGTTTATATAAAACTCGTTCGGAAAGTACTTTGAACTTTAATTATCATAAAATGATATCATATATAGAGAAATAACTACTTCATTTTTATTTTGTTCACACTAGGTACACAAGTGTGACTTATAAAGGCGAAATTATCTTGCTTAGTGAACAATTGGAAAGCGTAGTTATCCCAGATTCCTAGATATCAATGTCTGCGGCTACATATAATCAATTACATGAATTAATAGCTCTTGGAAGCAATATTCCCTGTTAGTGTTCCTTTTGAGGAG